TTGGTGAATGCCACAAATTCTCCTAAATCACCCGTACGCACAATTTGAGAGCAAATCTGTGCGCACGAATGGTTCTTGCATGAGGCCCAATGTTTGTAAGTTGTCTTTTTGTACTGCAACAGCTTTTCTCAACCCTTCCCAAGGCAAGAATGCTRCACTGAAGATGTGATATCATATTGGAAGTAACCAGATAAAAAGAAACTCCTTTACCTTTTTTTTCCTTTCTGGAAGCAACCCCTGCAAAAAGATTGGGGGACATTGAACAGGTTGCAAGGCCATAGAGCTCAAAACCCACAACCTTTCGCAGACGTCCTAAAAGTGTTTATGTTAAAACTAGCCTACCTGAGTATTTGAGCCGCTTCATGTCCTTCATTTTTTTTACCACCATGCTGTGAAATGACAAAGACCTGCCAGCGCAGTGGGGGGTCGGCTGAGAGCGCCTCTCTGTGATCCTAATAGCGGCCTAGAAATTACAGTTTCACTTCCAGGCGGGAAACCTGATGCTGGGCCAATTAGTAATTTGGTATTTCATAAAACTTGGCAGCTCACGCGTGATGAAAAACTGACAGAGATCTCCTCTCCTTCAGGGAACCTTTGGCACAGACACAACTGCTACGTTTCTCTTTCATGGCGAAGTGTTAAAAAACATCGCGAGGACACAGCTGAGCTGAAAAGAGCATCTAAAAACAGCTCATAGAGCAGGGTTAACACAGGCACAAAACAGGAGAAAGATTTCCTTCAAGATGCCTTTTACTGTGCTAAACTACTGTTTGTGTGATTGATGAGCAGAGAAACAGTCCATTAGAGGTTGCGAGGTCATACTGCAGCACTAAAARCATTAGTTTGCCATTACACACGTTTGATGTGCGGTGTACAATACTACTTCATCGCTATGGGAGCAGCTATTCTCTTTCAGCTCCCTGAAAGGTCATTATGGGATGGGAAAGCCCAGTTGACCCAAGGCAAAGTACATCATTTATCTTTTGCACCAGGAGAACACACCTAACAAAGCAGGCTGACCCCAGTTAGAACACCGAGGATTTCGGCCATTTTTCAAAGCCACAAAGTAATTTGCCGTACGCCGAAGTCGGCTGTTTTTTATCGAGACAAACATTTTTTTCCCTTCAGTTTTCTTTATTTGTCTTTATCAAAGCTCTGAAGTGAATTGTGT